GTCCTTACCTAGGTCTCGAGGGAAGTTTCTGAAGGGCTGGGCAGGCTCTGCTTGCTGGAGCACATGCTACCTGCTGGAGCAGCCTCGGATGTTCCTCCTCACTCCACGCCTGCAGCTGGCACTCCGGGACCCACGTGTCCGTCACAGACTGCATGTGCCCGCCGGCTCAGGCTGCACTCCAGGGTGACTCTACCGAGCCTGGGTCCCCACAGCTTGTTGGTATTTTTAGAGTCTGCTTGAACCTTTGACAATCTGAAATTCAAATGAACAAGAAAGTGTAAAACACTTCTTGCAAGTGAGGTAAAAACACCGAGCCCTGGCGCTGAGGCCTGCCCGGTCCCTGCCCTGACTAACGTGGGGGCCTCCAAGTTAAGGGGCGGCGGGGGGTGGGGGGGAGAGAAGAGGGGATGAAGGGCAGGGAAGCTCAAGGAAACAACTAATTAAAGCCCAAAAGTATCCAGAGCTGTCCGGTTCTGCCAGCTTTAAATTGCGCTTTTCATTCCAAGACAAAGCTGAAAAGCAGCATTTCAGTCTGGCAGGGATGGAATAAAAATGACAAGGGCTTAGAATTTGAATGTGAGTTCTGGGAGCACTTTCTTTGTCTCCCTTAGGAAGTTCCATAGGAAACGAGTTCTAACCCCTTTTTAATCCTTAGGGTTTGGGGGAAGGTTAGGGCTGCACGCCCCAGCCTGTGGGTGAGGCAGCAGGAGGCAGGGCCGGAGCTGGCAGATGGGGCTGCCGCCTGGCCCAGCTCCTGTAGGCCCGCCTGCCAGAACTGAGCGGTGAGGACGCAGGCCCTGAGGCCTCTGTCTTGGTGCTCCTCTTGGGCAGCCATGGCTGTTGGTTTTTGTAAACAAGTGAAACAGAAATACCGTAGCAATTGCGAAAGCACTTAGAGCAAGGTGCTGGGTGTATTTTCTCTCTGCCTAATGGCCACGTTTGTACACATTGTTCTTGGTCGTCAGCGCACGTCTTAGAGCTCCCTGGCCGGCAGCGGTGAGGTTTGAGGAGTGGATGAATTGTGTGACTTTCAGGTGTTCACCTGAAAAGCTCAAGGGTCAGGTCAGACGTTTGGTTCCCATCAATGAGCGTGTTTAGGAACCTGCACGTCAGAACTTCGAATCTTGGGAGAATGAGCCTGGTTCCCCTTCCTGCTGGAATGTGTTTCCAGGGCCATCCCATTGGGAATCCTCAGGTTTGTGTGGCATACGGCTCAGTGGTCACAGCCCAGGTCTGCGTCAGAAGGGCGTGTCCAGAGCACTTGCTGCTTCTGCCATCAGCACCCTCTGCTGAAATGCCTGTCCTCCCACTGAGCACCAGGCCTCTGTTCAGGTCGTCTGCACTTCTCTTTCACTGGGACCTTTTGGGACAGAGGGTCAGGCAGGTCTCAGGTTGATGCCTCACGCCATCATCTGTGTGTGTGATGGTGACAGTCAGGAAGCTCCTGATCTCACCTCTTGCTGCCACAGCCACAGGTGTGTGCAGGGCCCTGGGATGAGCCCCGTGGTTCAGCCATGATGGTTGTCTACACAGGCACGCTCTCCCTCCCCTTTGCCGCCGATGTAGTTAAAGAAGTTCTCTCATTCTGCGAGTGTAGCTGCCGGAGACCTTCTGGAGGCATTCCAGCCCAGCTCGCCAGGGCACTGCTGTGGTCTGGCCTCCAGTCCCTCTCCCCATGCCATGATGGCAGTCAGGTGCTGGGTCATGGCAGGCGGGGTGGTGGGACCTGCTCCCCTGCGCTCCCTCTTTAGTCAAGGGCTCGTCCCAAACTGCTGTCCAGTGCCAGCGAGCAAAGCAGTGCCCACTCAGCTTCTTGAGTGTGTGATGCCCATTTACCAGGAACACCCCTGGCGGCCGTGAGGGAGCTCTGCCCATGGCCTCCCCCAGGCCAGTGCTTCACGCAGACCAGTCCCTGGCTCCATCCCTGAGCCCCGCGGCGCAGCACGGAAAAGGGCTGAGGTGGGCCAGTTAGCAGGCAGGTCATATCTTCAAAAACATTTTCCTCTCTTGTGGGGGGTCAGCATCCTTTTTCTCACCTCCTCCTATTCTCCTAATCCCTCCAAAGCATGCACGGTACCGAAAGCACAGCTGTTGCTAGCTAAAGTGTGCTAACTTGTTCTGAAAAGTGCATGAAGCTGATCTACGGGCCCTAGTGGGAGTGATTGATATGGGTTGTGTGTTTGTGAACAAGTAAGTGAATTCGACATTGACATATAACTTTTCTTTGTTTAATATATTTTCATTGATTTCAGAGAGGAAGGGAGAGAGATAGAAACATTAATGATGATAGAGAATTATTGATCATCCTCCTGCACATCCCCTGACCAGGAATTAAACTGTGACCTCTTGGTTCATAGGTCGACACTCAACCACTGAGCCACACCAGCCAGGTGATATATAACTGTTTAAAATTAGGGGGAAATAATTGCATGATATCACCAAAGCCTGGGCCACAGCTCAGCTGCTCAGTGCAGGTCCCCTGTGTTTCTGTGCCTCTGAACACACTTTGTTTGACCTTCTCTGGAGAGGCCCCCCAGCTTCTGGGGTGGAGGATGGCCTGGCTGGGGTGGAGTCCCCTGTGCTCTCACTGCTCATCACTGAAGTTAGGGGCAGGCATCTCCCCAAATCCAGCTCAGTCTCCAGATTCCATCAGAGAGTCCTCGAAAGTCCATGTCACTTGCACTGGTTTCTGGAAACAGATCCTTGGGTGCCAGGAAACGAGGATAAAGGTCCACTCCACTCCGCCAGTCATCCCCACCCTCCCTGTATCCCACTACTGATGCAGAAGTGCACGTCCAGTGGGCTGCTGTCCGTGGTAACACCTGAGCAGCATTTGGGACAAGTTCCCGCCCGCACCCCCCTCCTGATGAGTGATCCTGACGGGAGTGGGAACCGAGCTTCTCTAAGCATCTAATAACCTCGGCCCGGCCACGTGGGAAGTCAGCTTTCCAAAATCGCCCGGTGAGTTACAGGCTACCAGCACCCTCCCAAACTCAGCTGCTGTCAGTGGTTTCCACCTTCCAGAATGAAATGCCAGGTGCTCGGGTGTGTTTTGATAGAGGTTCGCAGAACTTGGCAGAGAAATGAGGAGTTTGGGGATGGATGGAGAACCCTTGGGTGGGTAGCGAGAATATGTGGAAGTTGCTGTGGTTGTTACCCCGGGGCCCTCAGAGCCACTAAGCAGAGTTGTGGGGTGTGTGGGTAGGACAATCTTCCCTCCGCCCCCGTCTGCCTTGAGATGTAAGCCTGAGCCAGGTCCACGGGAATTCACCCCATTTCCCGCTACTTGTATTCAACGAGCACCATTCACCAGGAGAGGCAAGTCCTGGGACATTCTCCTGCATCACCCCAATATCTTAAAGGGAAGGGAGGGAGGGGGTGCTAGGAATAAAAGGCTGCCCCGTACCGCTGGTGTGCCCACCCCAAGCCCGACCTGGCAGGTTGCCCTCATCAGGTGGGCTGTGCTGCACAGACACGGCTGGGCTGGTAGGCGGGGCTGGGAGATCCTTTAGGAGAAAGGCAGCTGGTGTTCAGTAGCTTCGAGCAATGAACTCATCAGTAAATAGCACACGTGAGCTCATTAATCTTCACTCTGCCTTTGGACCAAGTGGGAGCTCAGCTTCTCAGGAGATACAATTTCATCTGTTCTTTTCCTTAAACCCAGGCCCATTTAGAGTGGAGCCCGCATGCTCTTCCGGGAGCAGCGAGGATGCGCCTTCCCACTCGGCACGGCCTGGGCTCGGTCCGTCCGGGCCCCGCCCCGGGCCCGTGGGAGCTCAGGGCAGCTGAGGAACGTTCTCCGGGCGAAGCTTATGTTTAAAAGTTAAGGCTGTCGACATCTTCGTCCATTCTGGCCACTCAGTCTTTGCTCCAACTTCTGTTCCTCCGAAATCACTGCCTCTACCCCTTGTCTCTGAAAAGGACAGAATTGAGGGTGTGGAGCGGAATGGCTCCCAGTGTGCAAGGGGTGGCTGCTGGCCGTCAGGGACAAGAAGTCCGGGCGGAGTCCTGCTTGGGGCGGGAGTGCGGAGAGCCCGGGTGGCGGCCTGGTGCCTGCTCCCGGCCGGGGGGAGGAGCTGAGGGGCGGGTTCAGATGCCCACAGGCTGGCCTGGATCTGGCCTAGGCCATGGGGCCCTGAGGCGTGGCGAGACACAACTGGTGGATGGAAGCCAGCCAGCACCGGCCGGGGCTTCCCAGCACCACCCCTCGCCCCAGAGCAAGGGCTCAGGAGACATCGGGCATCCGTGCGCCTCGCACATCCTCATCCCGGCCGGCCGGCATTCCTGGAAGCTGATCAGACGAGGGGAGGGAATGTTCCCTCTGTCCTCTGGGCCTCTCTCATTTCCGGCAGAGGGACTGCACCAGCTTCTCCCTCGCACCTCTCTGCTCCAGAGAGGACCAAGCCTGGGTGCGGGCCTCAGCCTCCCACCTGCCAGGTGCAGTTCAGAGGCATCAGGCTCCTTAGAGATGAAGGAGCTCAGCATTGCCGTTTCGTCCTCTGTTTTAATGTAAAACCTTTTCCAGCGCTTGAAATCCATTTTCCTTGAGAGCCCCCTTCACGTGCAGCTCATGGTTTGAGCACTGCCACGATCCCCACGCCCTAGCTGTACAGGAGGTAGGATGTAATTTAACGCAACCATTGGTCTGCTCCCTGTCTTCCTCCGAGAAGCGCTGGTGTCCGGGTGGTGGTGCAGGGACACGCTGAGCTGCGGCTCTGCTCCGGCCTCCGGGGGCCGGAGGGCAGGAGCCCAGAGCCCCGCTCTCCCAGGGAAAGGTGTGTCCGCAGCGGCCGCCGCCTTCGGGCCTGCCTCCAGGTCCCTCCAGGCATGAGCGCAGGAAATGCCCGTCGGCTCTGGGGACATCACACTGAGCTGAGGGGGGCGGGCCTGGAGCCTCTGCGGGACGTCCGCCCACTGAGGTGCCCTCCACACGTGAGCTGGGCCTGGGCCTTGGGCAGCCCCCTAACCCTCCGTTTTCTCTGCTTCTCCCGCTTCTGCAGGTTACGTGTTCTGCATGTTACATCGCCTCCCCGAGCAGCATGACTGTACGTTTGACCACATGGGCCGAGGCCGGGAGGAAGCCATCATGAAAATGGTGAAGCTGGACCGGAAAGTGGGGCGCTCCTGCCAGCGCATTGGGGAGGGGTGCTCGTGAGGGCCGCACGGCCGCACGTGGCGCTGTTTAGTTCACTGATGTTAGCCTTATTTAGGACAGAGTCAGCCAGACACCTTTACTGGGCACGCGTCAGACACAGCCAGGCCGTTTCCTTTCCTTAGCCAGCCATCCTGGTACTGTAGTTTAGGGGTTGATGGTGGTTGAAATTGATTTCTGGCTGGTTACTAAGGTGCCTGCTAGCCATTGTATAAAATTAAAACATGAAGAATATTTTTTTTGAGCATGGCTAGTGGATTTAAAACAACACATACCTGTCACTGCTGGAGTCAAACTTATAAAAAGCCTTAAGCGGAAAGGGTTCCAGACGGAGACTCTTGAGTTCGTAGAGGAGTAGAAGCTGGTGTTCCAGTCCCCACAGCGCACACGGCTCTGCCAAACTCTGGTTCGTGTCCGGCCTTTCACCTCCTCACTTATCCTTAGTCCTGGCAGCACGCTGCCTGGTGGCCACGCTGCCTTGGCCACAGGAGGCTGCTGAGATTTGCCACGTGGCTCGGCTGTGTGGGGGCCTCACACTCCCACAGAGCTCACTGGGGGTGGGGGAGCAGGTTCTTATAAAAATCTTAACATTTTTTACCTGACTTGTTACGAAAAGCTCAGCACGAGAAGAGAAACAGTAACCTCACCCTGAAAATTAGCTCCACTCAAGTCTAGTCCACCCATGAGAACCACCTTTCTACTCCGGACCCCAGGCCACGAGCGGCCGCCCGGCCGTCCGACCCACTGGCTCTGGTTGCCACTTGCCAAGTCCAGGTGATCACACGGCTAAAGGCAGCACCGCAGGGAGGCTGGGTCCGCGGCGGCCTCCGCAGCCACAGTTCCCTGTTGGGAGTGTTTTAAATGGCGTTTCCTAGCCCACAGGAGCCTGGGAAGCGGCTGCCCTGATTCCGCCCCTTCCAGCAGGAGCCGAGGGGATGGCCTCGCCCGCCTGCAGCCCTGCAGCCCAGTGACAGCGGTCACACCTGACAGGGTGGGAGGCAGCAGTGTGCTGTGTACAACTGGCTCGTGGCCGTGGCCGTGGCCGTGGCCGTGGCTGTGGCCAGGCTCCGAAGGAGACATCGGCTCAGCAGGTGGGGCGGACAGGAGTGCAGTAGTTCGAGCGGGAGGGGAAGGGGGTGGGTCTCTTGGCTCACATTAGGAATCAGTACCAGGCGGGTGGGGGGAAGGGGCAGACAGGATAAGACGAGCAGGTGTGCGGGCCCAGAGCCGTCATCCAGGCGGAGAGAGCCGAACGCTCCTGCAGCGGCCGTTCGGACCTGTCCACCCGCAGGCTGTTGGAGCAGTTCAACCCAGCGACTTGCCCTTTTATACCACAAGCAGGTCAACTCTGTCTGCAAATTAATCCCTGCAACTGAAAACGTTCTTAGGTCCAGAATCCAAAATAGGAAATCATGCTCTACCCAACCCCCTCCCCACCCACCAGAGTGGAATCCGCTGCAAAATCTCCAGCCTTAATTCTCGCTTCAGGACCCAGGCCGGGGTCTCGCTCTAGGGCAGCCCAGGGCAGAGGGGCGGGTCTGCCCACGTTTACCACTGTTGTCAAGCCACGGCCCTCGGGCCAGTCCCGGCCACCTCAGTGAGCTGGCCCGCCCCGGCCCCACCACGCTCCGACCCCGAGGCCCCAGCCCCCGCCCTCCTCGGGCCCCACCGGCTGCTGCTTGGAGGCAGCGGTGGGAGCCCAGCACAGAGGCTCGGCCCTCTTCCCCGTGGCAGAGCGGGGGAGGGGGGGCGTTCCCTGCAGTATCTGTTCTGTGAAGTTTGTTAAATGTAAGGAAAGCTTAAATTCTTGTATCTTTAAAAGAGAAATCTTATTTAACCCTTTTGTGTTCTAGATTTACTTACACACACAGCCTAGAGCTCGGTTTTAGTTTTAACATTGTGAAAATATTAAAAGACTCTTGTAACTTTATTCTTTTTTTCCTGCTGAAAAATTAAACCAGTCGTACGAAAGCTCGGATTTCTCTGTTTCGCCCCTTCTCCTACATGCCTGCCCCGGACCACTAGGAACATCACAGCCCCTCCCACGCGCCCTCGGAATGGGCTGTGGGGCCCGGCCAGGGTGTGCCTGCGGGCCCAGCTGTGCTGCCAGCAGGAGGCTGCACATCTGGGGAGATGGGAGGAAGGGAGCACCTGCTCTGGGCCCGGGTTTGCACGGAGGACGGAGAGGGTGAGGAAGGAAGGGCGTCTGTCTCCCTGGAGGGAGGACCGGGGCGGTGTGTGCTGTGTGAGCTCACTGTGACTTCAGCAGCTTCTCTCAGGGCCACACAGGCTGCTAACGTTCGGAGGCAAAAACACCTTTTTCTTCTTTTTGCCGATATGAACCAAACGTGGTATTTGTTCACAACAGACAGCTGCTGTGTTGGCTGTTGTCATCACAGTGCCCCTCAGGAGTCAGGTATCGCATGTTGTAAAACCCGGAGGCACATGGAGACACTGGTGTAGAGGATACACTAATACTTGGGAAGATGTTCACATCCGTGTGGCGGAGTGGCACCTCCCCACCACCTTTAAGGCACAGATATTGGTCACACGGTTGTCAGGGCGATGACGAAGGATCCCCCGGAGGGAATCCGAGGTGCAGAGGGGCAGAGCGCACGGGTCTGGGCCTGGGCACCACGCTGCGCCTGGCGAGGTGAGTGGGACTGCGCGCGGCCTCGGGGCTTTGGGAAGAGGAGGGCGTGCAGGTGGGCAGCAGGGGGACGGAAGCCCCCGCTGGCAGGTGGAGTGGGACGGTCATGAAGGTAGGGGTCAGCTGGGAACTGGGAGGCCTCCCACTCGGAGGACAGGCGCCAGAGCACGGAAACGCCCGAGGAAAGACCGGGACTTCCAGAATTTCGCTCCTTTGCCACCATCCTCAGAGCTTCCCTGGGAGGCTCCGGAAGGGGAATAACCAGGGAAAGGGGGAGAGACGGGGTGCGGGAAGGCACTGCCCGGCGAGCCCCAGGCCCACGGCAGCCCGTCCACCTCCCTGTGGGCTGGGAGGGGCTCGGTAAGTCAGTGTCTGATTTGATTTACCTTCTACCCTGTGGTTCAGATATGAGTCTTAGATAGAAAATTACACAGAGACAATTTATTGCAAAACAAAAAATAAGAGGAACCATAGACCCCGCGTGACTTGGCTGTGAGTAATATCAAATACAAACCGGGCGAACACGAACAGTGAGGAGGCTGCTCGGGGGCAGCCGGAACTCTGCCGGGCGCGCCCAGTTCCGTCTCCGTCCGCCGGAGGTAGGTGCGTGCCTAACATTCAGGAGAGCAATGTGTGTGAGGTGAGAAGTATAAGTGCAGCATGATGCTCTCCGGGTCCACCCATGCTGTTGCAAGTGGTAAGAGTTCCTTTTTTACAGCGGCGTAGTATTCCATTGTGTCAATGTGCCACAGTTCTTTAATCCACTCCTCTGCTGATGGGCACTTAGGCTGTTTCCATATCTTAGCTACGGTGAATTGTGCTGCTATGAACATAGGGGTGCATATATCCTTTCTGATGGGTGTCTCTGGTTTCTTGGGATATAGTCTTAGAAATGGGATCACTGGGTCAAGTGGGAGTTCCATTTTTAACTTTTTGAGGGAACTCCGTACTGTCTTCCACAGCGGCCGCACTGGTCTGCATTCCACCAACAGCACAAGGGTTCCTTTTTCTCCACATTTTTGCCAGAACTTTTTGTTGATTTTTTTTTTTAATTTCTTTATTGATTAAAGTATTACATTTGTGTCCTTATCCACTCATGCCTCACCCCCCTGTTGTCTGGTCCATGGGTTAGGCTTATATAAGTGCATGCAAGTCCTTTGGTCAATCTCTCCCCTTTACCCCCATCCTCCCCTACTTTCCATGTGAGGTTTGATGGTCTGATCGATGCTTCTGTCTCTGGAACTGTTTTTGTTCATCGGTTTATGTTGTTCATTATATTCCACAAATGAGTGAGATCATGTGATATTTATCTTTCTCTGACTGGCTTATTTCGCTTAGCATAATGCTCTTCAGGCCCATCCATGCTGTTGGAAATGGTAAGAATTCCTTCATTTTTCCTGCCACATAGATTTGTTGATGACAGCCATTCTGACAGGTGGGAAATGGTACCTCATTGTTGTTTTGATTTGCATCTCTTGGATGATTAGTGACTTTGAACATGTTTTCATATGTCTCTTAGACTTCTTTCGGAAGTCTATTTAGGTCCTTTGCCCATTTTTTTTAAATTGGATTTTTTATCTTCCTTTTATTAAGTTGTATGAGTTCTTTCTAAATTTTGGAGATTAAATCCTTATCTGAAATATCATTGGCAACTATGTTCTCCCATGCAGTGGGTTCTTTTGTTGTTGATGGTTTCTTTTGCTGTGCAGAAGCTGTTTATTTTGATGTAGTCCCATTTGTTTTCTCCTTAGTCTCCATTGCCCTAGTTGGTAAAGATATTGCTATGGCATATGAATGCTATTTTGTTGCCTATGTAGTCTTGTAGGATTTTTATGGTTTTCTGTCTTACATTTAAGACCTTTAGCCATTTTGAGATTGTTTTTGTGTATGGTGTTTTTGAACTTTATATAAATGAAGTAATATTATGTGAATTCGTATTTTTAAAAAATTTATTGTCTAAAGTTTTACATATGTCTCCTTTTCCCCCGAATGACACCCTCTCCACCACCCCCCCCCCCCACAGCCATTCCCACCCCAGGCACCCCTATGTTCATAACAGCACAATTTACAATAGCTAAGATTTGGAAACAGCCTAAGTGCCCATCAATAGATGATTGGATTAAAAAAACTGTGGTACATCTACACGATTGAATACTATGATGCTGTAAAAAAGAAGGAACTTTTACTATTTGCAACAGCATGGATGAAGCTGGAGAGCATTATGCTAAGTGAAATAAGCCAATCAGAGAAAGATAAATATCAGGATCTCACTCATATGTGGGATATAATGGTCAGCATAATTTGATGAACAAGAATAATGGCAGGGGATGGGGTGGGTAGTGAGCAACCAAAG